ACGATGAAGGAAGCAAGAAAGGAAAGAAGGAGGAAACGATGAAGGAAACAATAAAAGAAAGAAGGAGAAAGCGATGAAGGAAATAAGAAAGGAACGAAGGAGGAAACGATGAAGGAAGCAAGAAAGGAAAGAAGGAGGAAACGATGAAGGAAACAATAAAAGAAAGAAGGAGAAAGCGATGAAGGAAATAAGAAAGGAACGAAGGAGGAAACGATGAAGGAAGCAAGAAAGGAAAGAAGGAGGAAACGATGAAGGAAGCAAGCAAGAAAGGAAAGAAAGAGAAAACGTTGAAGGAAACAAAAGAGGAAAGGAGTAAGATACGATGAAGGAAACAAAAAAGGAGAGAAGGAAGAAACAATGAAAGAAGCTAGAAAGGAAATAAGGAGGAAACGTTGAAGGAAACAAGAAATGAAAGAAAGAAGAAACGATGAAGGAGACAAGAAAGGAAAGGGGGGAAAAATGAAGGAAGCAAGCAAGAAAGGAAAGAATGAGAAAACGATGAAGGAAACAAAAGAGGAAAGGAGGAAGATCTGATGAAGGAAACAAAAAAGGAAAGAAGGAGAAAACGATGAAGGAAACAAGAACGGAAAGAAGGAGGAAACGGTTAAGGGAACAAGAAATGAAAGAAAGAGGAAACGACGAAGGTAACAAGAAAGGAAAGAGGGAAGGAAAGAAAAAAGGAACGAAGGAACGAAGGAACAAGCAAGAAGAAAGGACTGACCTGGCCAGCGCAGACGTAGAAGTCAGAGCAGGAAGTGGAGTCCGGGTAGAAGTCATTGGTTTTACCCGTGCAGTCGAAAGATCCCGTCTGGCTGATGGCAGGGGGCGCTGGTTGAGGGAGTTGGAGGGCTTATGTTTATCTCATGCTACTCAGGGTTCAAACCCCAGTACAGGCCAGTGGGTGTAAAGACTTATACGGTAATGATATGTGTGTTTTGTAGGGATCAACATTCCTGGTGGTTGGTGGTCCGGTGAGTTCTGGTGTGGTTTGCTCCGTCCTTTCCTATCAAACTTCTATCGTCCCTATCTCTCTCCTTCTTCTTTCGTTTTATGTAGTTCTCCAGTAACACCTTTCCTCTAATCTGCGGCACTTATTATCTATTTGTGTTGCAAGTGACGTAAAACCCTTACTATAAAACCCAAAAGTACCTACCAACTATCTTACAGTAGCTCCCTTGACACTTGATGCACTTTTCTCTCGGGTTTAGAGTTCAATCCTGTAATCAGCGCTCTTGACTACGATCTGATTTTGAGCAAGAATTTGAAAGCACCCGCCCTCATAGGTATGCAGCGTTTGTACTACATAAGCGCCCGTGCTAGAACTATCATCATCTGCATGATTTATAATGATATTATGATATCAAAATGTGTGACGCCGTCACCAATTGAGACATTGAGAATGTTTGCAGTACAAGAACATTATAATAAGTTATAGTGTACCATTTATTATTTTTTCAAAATCAGCGCCACTAGATAGCTAGAGTACACGCTCTTGTGTGAATACGTAAAGGCATGGCAGTGAGTGAGTGAGTGAGTGAGTGAGTGAGGGAGTGAGTGAGTGGATGAGTGAGTGGGCGAGGGAGTGAGGGAGTGAGGGTGTGAGTGAGTGATGGGGTGAGGGAGTGAGTGAGTGAGTGAGTGAGTGAGTGAGTGAGTGAGGGAGTGAGTGAGTGGGTGAGTGAGTAGGTGAGGGAGTGAGGGAGTGAGTGATTGAGGGAGTGAGGGGTGAGGGAGGGAGTGGTGGGTGAGGGAGTGAGTGAGTGAGAGTATTTAATTGTGTGTGCATGTGTGTACAAGGGTATGACATTTCATCAGATTTAGCACATATAACACACGCATGTTCTCGCCTAAACACAAACAGTATCCCCTTTTCTCACATACAGGGCAAGAGTTTGTGAATATTTTTCCATGTATGGTGAATTTTAACATTTCACATTACTATTGTGGTGCGTAATATAGATAATAGAGAACAGTTGAGAGCAGCGGATCAAACAAAGCCCATCAGCAATTATTTCAAAATGGAATTGAAACCCCAAAAATATCCGAAATAGGCCAAAAGTGCAAATCCTTAGCGTCATTCTAATAAGGCTTTTGTCATTTTTTATTAAGTTTTAAGAAAATTACTGGAAAAGAGAGCGCCCAGATCAAATTTTGACTTGGGCACGATTTACTTTTTAATTAAAAAAAAAAAAGATCGTCTAGAAATCATATCCATAGGTCAAATCCAAAGACCATATTATCTGTAGGTCAAGTCTTAAGATCATATTTTATCCGTGGATCAAGTCTAAAAATCATATTATCTATAGGTGAAGTCTGAAGATCATATTAGCCACGGGGCAAGTATGTATAAAGACCATATTGTCCATGGATCAAGTCTAAAAATCCTATTATCCATAAATCAAGTCTAAAAATCCTATTATCTATAGGAGATAATATTTTATCCATAGGTCAAGTCTCAACTAAAGATCACATTATCCACAGGTCAATTCCAAAGATCATATCGAAAGATCATATTATCCACGGGTCAAGTCTAAACATCATGTCCATAGGTCAATTCTCAAGATCATGTCCATAGGTCAATTCTAAAGATCATATCCATAGGTCAATTCTAAAGATCATATCCATAGGTCAATTCTAAAGATCATATCCATAGGTCAATTCTAAAGATCAATAGGTCAAGTTCTTAGACCACGACCTGAGTTTTGGGAGGCGGGGAGGGGGGGGGGGTCTTGTACGTAAAGCCTTTTACCTGAAGTCTGAGTAGCCCCCGCTGGATTTGCGGGCGCTTGCGTCGGGTGAGGGTTAAAGGGCGCCTGTGTCGGGTAAGGGTTAAAGGGCGCCTGTGTCGGGTAAGGGTTAAAGGGCGCGACCGTGCCGGGGTTTGACGTAGGCGGGTTTGAGAGGAAGGTGGCGGCCGGCGGTGCTGGTGTCCCGAAGTAAGGCGGG